AAGGTACTTAAATACATGTATATGATCATGCGGAAGTTCAATAGTGAATTCATACAGAGCGCATACAAATGTGATCTAAAATGAAGTTACCGACGTGCTGGTCTCAGAAGGTTCTGAGTTATGCTAAAGTCGCAACTAGCAAGAAAGCTGCGAGGCCAAAGCCTAAAGCACTGAAAATGTAACGATAAAAAATAGTAACAGCCGAAACTGTACTCAGTAAGGAAGATGAGATGCAGGGCTATACTAACAGCTGCAGAATGATTGCGACTGTCGCAACAGCTATCTGATGGAATCGCATAAGAATAAACGCAAGTCAGAGCATACGAAACGGTTATGGAGAAACATCGTGCCAAGAACGAGAACCAAAATGATTATGAAAGGCAAATCGATGACGCGGAAAATCTGCATGAAACTGCTGAATAATGAAAGGAATGATTAAAATAAGAAATAAATAGAACCAGGCATGCAGCTAACTTGTCAGAAGCACTTTCTGTGAATGGCGAATGCGAGAAAATTTCGTTTGTCATTAATAAAGAGAACTGCACAGAACAGGAATACGGCTTAGAATAACTGAAATGTTTTGACAGACGTCTAAGCAAGTAGTGCATTTATACAGGGGTGTAAGACCTTCGTCAAATATCAAGCAAGGTTAAGCAAGAAACATAGCGATAAATAGTGCCGCGCAATCTGTATGGAAACTGGCTTTTACCTGATAAGGTAGGCGAAGTGCCATTTCAGTAATTAGCTGCTGATAACTCTCGAAAATATCCAAGAAATGTTCTCGGACGTACTGCTTCAGAAAGAAAGGAGAGAAGTCAGGCAGAGTGGCAGATGTCCTCACCGTCAAAATACCGCTTGGTCCGCTCTAAAGAATGTCGGTTAGAATAGGTATAAAGTTTAAGTTCATTTTTCTTAAAAGGATACGTGGATCACTAGAAAAAACGACGTCGTCCATAATGGCGTAATGTAACTATTAACTACAAAAATAACACTACGCCAACTGCTTTTCAAGCAGTTTCTCAATGAACGGCAACGAACTGCGGTTCACTGTCATTTAGTCATCTTTGCAGTGCCAGACGAATGACACCTGCACGTCAGTCAGATAGCTGATGACTTGTACTGTAACCGCAAGTGATGAAACTCCTTGTTCTACCAGTATTACTTGAGCTGTAAACACTGTGGGTATGACCTGACAAAATATTCATGATAAGCTTTATGCATCCTTTGAAAACATATACGGGTGATGATTACTTAAACAGGAGCTTCCACTATCGAAGCAGTAAGCAGCAACTTCACCATTTTCAACATTTTTGACAATATTGCAACAAAGTTCGGTGCGCAACCATGTCCAATGGAAGCAGTACGAATTTTAATAATTTGTTAACCTAAAGTAACAAACCTAAAAATACCATAGAAAAGTGTCGTGAGAAGACGTAATGAAGTTTAATCTGAGTCGCAAAGTGACAGTTAAGAGGCTGAAAACTGGACGATTCGAACAGAGCGATCTTCTGGTAGGTTGATAAACCGTATTTACCTGTAAGAGATAGCATTTCATTCGAACCAAACGGTAGTTCATACATGACAACATTGGACCGAACAATTCGGAAAATAAAAAGGAAATCTCATCAATAAAATTTGTAACCTGAAGCTTAATAAATGTCAATAAGCAAAATAAACACTTAAAATGATGAATTTATAAGAAGTAAATAGCATAGCTCATACCTATTTCGGAACTCTGCTTGAACGAACGCAGTTGCGCTGTTTGCCAACCTAGCGAGTCTACGAAGTGAGACTCATCAGCACAGTAATCTGACAGCTGCTTAAGAGAACGTTTGTAACCGATGATCTGCTTTACAGGTCCACAACAGCAACCATATGTTGCAGTCTGTTTTAGCGGAGCCAGTGGTACTCCCTCCTCGATCACCGTTCTGATGCAATCAGCCAAGAGGCCTTCCATACGAAAGCAGTATTTATGGTTAGGCGGCCACTATATATGTATAGCACGCTTTCCTCCCACAGACTGATATTCGTTTACTTACTTCAGAGGGATGAAAAACAAATAATCTGACTGAGTTAGAAGCAGCGATCTTTTCAGTGTGAATTCCTCGCTCTGACAACTGAACTACCTGTGACGCCGAAGACAACTACTAATTAATAAAAT